AAGATCCCCCCCCCCCCCGGGGGTACGTCCTCTCGAGGACAATGGTCTAACCACTAGGTCATGCGAAACACGAGCACGCTAACCCGTTGCATGCAAGGTGTTAGGCGTCGCATGTGTGCAGTGAAATTTATGGTGGTCGCGGCGGCGGCGGCGGCGACGGCGGTACCTGTCGCGGATGATGTCTTCGGTGTCGTCCTCCCGCCTCTCCAGGTTCTCTAGCGACCCGGGACACCGCGAGCTTTCACAGCCCTCGAAGTTCGGGAGGATCATGGGCATCACGTAGCCGTCTGATCTCTCTCGCGCGCGGCACAGGTTACAACCGCGTTCGACGACGCGATCAGAGGAGGTCCGAACGGAGGAGGAGCGGTTTCCGCGGAATGATGGCGAGGAACAAGGACGGACCATGTCCGAAAATGGAGGCAAGGGGGGATCCCGTGCGGGCGATTAGAGAAGTCACGAGCGGATGCTCAGGCGTCGAAAGCCGACAAGAACGGGTCGCGTGGTGGTTGCTTGCGGCTTTGATTTTGGGACGATGACGTCTTGGACACACAACTTCGCGCATGTTACGGAATGGTTGCTGACACAAGCATCAGTATACGTACCCACGACGGGCACAATGACCCCCGACCCTTCTGATTCCTATCGCACTCTGCCTACGGAGTCTTGAGGGTTTCGTGCGACTTGTCTCTTCTTTGTAAAATCTTGGAAGCCTTAGCTTGGTTCGATATGGTGTGCCAATTGAGTTCTCCTATAACTCGGCCCTTGTATTGTTTGTCTCGAGAAAAATTGCGCGTTGACCATGCAAGCTTTTCTCAAGTTATCAAACACCTATAGAGGCTTTAATCACTTGACCCCTTCGCATACCTTTGTTGACGTCAGCAATGTTGAAGCTCCGTCGGCACTCTGGACAGCTACGTCGCGCGGAGATTTTCTTCACCGTGATCCACTCGGGAAGTGTGATGTTGATCACTCTGTCTATCTTGATACCTGCCTGTTTCGCGGGAACCACACAAACATTCGGTGCAGAAGAAGCCAGGGCCAACAAACGCGTGAACCGCAAGCATTGCGAAGCATGTTCTCCGAGGCATTTGGTTCCGTAACGCGCCCACCGCCCGCTACTATCATCTCATTGTCGTTGCAAAAGGTGCCGATCTATTTCATATCCATCCGTGCTAAAAATCAAGCTCGGTCGACCTGTTACGCTCAGAAGGAAACCATGCTCAATTTGAACGTGATCTTCGACAAGAGTCCCATTTCCCCAACGTTTGTCAAGGACATTGTCCTCTGTTCAAACCAACCCCAGAACAACTCAATAGAGGTCGCGTCTACGCGGGCTACTCTGTGAAAACGGGGGGCAACAACAACCGCCGCAATGCATCCTCCGCGACAAACACCGCGTCTTAACCGCATGACCTACCCCCGCCACTCCGCCAGGGAAGGGCTAAGAAAGCGCAAACTCACCGATTCAAGCCATGCCGCCTGCGCCAAGTTCCTCGGGAAGCCATCCTGTCAGCAAGCAGCACGAAAAAAAAACTAAAGACGTAAAATACTAACCCGGAAGAGAAGCAATTCACTCATTCGCGCCACGAGAACCGAAGGGATCCCGACACAGCCAGCCGCTGCCTTCTACTTACGACAGTCGGGAGTGCTAGTTCTCATACGTCTCTTGGTTCTTGATGGCCCAAACGGAAAAAAAAACACCGCACCTGCTCTTCCTCAAGCAGGCAGGGCGTACGAATTGGACCTGAGCTAAAAAAATCGACCTACGTTTGCAGAGGATTCTATTGTCGGAGGATGAACCGCAGCCGCCGGTGGGCCATAAACAGGCCGCAACCCTTTTGTCAGAACAAGGCGGATGGAGCCACAACTCTATCAATGACTAAAAAAAAAACGGTGTGCTTCCCGCACGGCACCTGAGAACGAACAGCGACAAATCCGACCAAGAAAGGTCAGCGGACAGAGCGCGCTCTCACCAGAATGAACCCCTGACACGCGTCCGCTTGTTTAACGCGTCGTTTTACCTGCGGCGGGAGTGTTGTCCAGAGAAAAACGAACAAGCCCACGAGAAAACACGCGAGGAAACGGGCTGGAGTGCTTGTTACCCCGGAAGATCGGCCGCGGAGTAACGTGCTTGAGTGCGGCAGGCGCCGTCACGGAAAAAAAACAGCCTTCCAAGCACGCATCCGAGGATGGGTACCTGTGCTACTCTTTTCGACAACCGTCGCCGCCGCGCGGCATACACATCTGAGATCCAAGGCCTACAGCAAGAAGCCCCGCTGTGTTCTCTCAACAACAACCGGGGACCGATAGCTCACGGTAGCCAGGGGTCAGACAACCACACTGATTGCCTGTCGTACCGGGCAGTATGCTATCGCGTCGTCTCCAGACTACTATTACAACGGTTGACCGTGCGCTATGCACAGGACAGCAGCAGCAGCATCGTTGCGCAGAAGACCAGCGAAAACACGAACGCTAACGTTTACATAACACGTGTTGACAGCCGGGCCGCACGCGGTACGTCCATGTATCTGCCACACACACATTCTACAACGATGCGCGATGGAGGGAGGTAAGCTCGGTATTGTGAGACTGATGATAGTGGGAGAAGCCGGCCAGCGCTACGCACGACCCCGCATCTTTCGTCCATGGCTTTCGGCAGACGCCCGGAGAGCACCAACACGGGGTATGTATGTAGCAAAAGAGGAGGTCTACCGTGCACATCAAACCAAGAACTCACCAAGTTGTTGACGACCTCGTCCGGAGCGAGCTGACCCTGATCAGAAAACGCCTGAAAATCGTCGGAGAACCGCACAGACAATTGCGCGCGCACACACGCGCAGATCATGGTCTATAAAAACGCTTTTTGTTTCCAGCCGCGCTGAGACTGATGTCTTTTCATTGGTTTCCGCGGTCGATGCCAAAAATGAAGACGCCCACATACGCGCGCACTCATACGCAAAGCATGCGCACGACACCGCCGTACGCAAGTGGTAGACCTTGTTGGCAACCACCCTACCCATGTTGCGTACAAGCTTTTTTACACAAGAAGTTTCGAACTCGTTCGAAATTCAATCTGCAGCCTTAAATGTAGAACTCCTCTTCTACTACAAGAGTGCTTCCCTGATGTTCGTAACTAGGAAATGGTGGGCATGTGGTGATCTTCAATCAAACAAATGCTTTTTCGTATGCAAGGGACGCTACAAAGCACCCCACGTGTCGAAATCCTCCCAAAAAACAAGCTGCCAATGGGAAGCTTCAAGCCTTGGAGCGTGGGGCGACAGAAAGTAGGAGGTGTCTCCGCCACCGTTGATGCTTGCCGCGAGTCCGTGTGTATTACAAGTATGCAACGTGATCATGGATGCGGCGGCGACAACACCAAATCAGCGGATGCCTTCACGCCGAATGGTACATAACTAGCCAGCAAATAACGAACACAGCCACAGAAGTTTGTCCGTCAGGTTGAGTTATGTTTATTCGAGCCGTGGAAGCGTGTACATAGCTCAGCGAGCGTTGGATGACACACTGAAACTCCAGTCTATGTACAGTAAGAGCCTGTGCTCGACGGTGGCGACGAAATGTGAAATTGAGCCTCGACCCGAAGTTGACGTCTCGTACATGATATCTCCGGACTCTAGCTCTGTATTCAAGTCTTCTCCAAGAAGAATTGATCACTTGTACTTCTGTAGACCACATGCTTTGGCCGTACCTTCATTTCCTTGCCCACGGCGGTTCCTCGTTTCACCTCCTCTCTCACCAAATCCCCTGCCCCAATAGTTGCTAGGCCCTGAGAGTTAAAGCGGCATGCAAAGAGGATTCTGGTCAGATGAGGGCAGCATCGGGTATCCTGTAAGTATGCTGGACAACCGTGGACAAGGGACGTGGCGCGCATACTAGACTACATGTGGGGCACAGCAGCAGCCAGAAAGGACGCAATTGGCATGTGGTCGACATCTTAATGGCGCTATTGTTCATACCAATTGGGGCCCTAGGATGGACGCAAACGATCCTTTCCCGACACCTGGAGCTCCCAGAAAGACGAAGCGGTTCATGGTCCACAGCAGCCGACTCGCTCGAGAGGTGTTACATCAGCAAGCAGCTGTTCAAACATTTCTTGGCCGGATTCGGAATTCGGAAACTCGGAAGCAGGAACCGGTTCCACTAAAAAGAGAACCGCTTCGCCTTCCGGCCAGAAAAGCTCGACGTTATCCCAGCCACGAGGGCACGCCACACGATGATATTTTATCGATTGCCAAGCAGAATAGCGGAGACCAAAAACAACATACAGCGCTCCCGCACTCCATCCAGCCCCGGATAGAACTGCACGAGGACCGCATACCACTCACCAACAACCTAGGCTTGCTCCCGCCCCCCACCGACTCGCCCATAACAGCTACCCGCGCCCATAGCGACGTACAGCGTAGCCTTCGCCAAGACCGGACGGCATGATTACCGACCTACAAGTACAGCCTGGTGTTGCCCAAGAATGGAATAAAAGCCAACGGCTACAATGGTTATCGGCCCACAGAACTTCCTGTGTGCATGCACGGCTTACAAGTAGCACATTCACGACTTAAGTCCACTTTGGACCTCCAAGGTTTGCAGAAGCCAGACCGCTGTAGTAGTTAGTCGACACACAGCAGTTGTGTTGCTTCGTTTTCGTCTTTTCGGCACTTTGTATATTATTTATAGCTTTCACTCTCATGTTCCTTATGCAATTAGACCAGTCTACGTGTACATCTATCTGCGGCATTGTCCTACCGATCCGATGTTGCTGCCATCCGTATTCGCGTCTTCCACCTTTGGAAGTAGCCGCTGTCATCTCCACGCGACATATTATGCGGCATTGTCGGACCGATGCTGCCGTCTGTAGTCTTCAAAATTTATTGATGAGTAGCTTGCCGTAGACTAGAAGTTTTCGCTGTCATCTCCATGCGATATTTGTGGCATTGCCGTGCCCATGCTTCCGTCCGTACGCGTCTTCCACATTTATTTGTAAAGCTTGCCGTATACTTTTATAAATAGTCACGTGCTCTTCGACGTTTGTTTGTATGTAGCTTGCTGTCTTCTACGCGTGCGTACCTCGGGTGTAGAGGAGTGCCCCATTGTACGAAAGTGTTGCATACCCTCCATACAAGTTCGTATACCTTTCGTGTTCATCGCCCCACGAGACCTACCTACGGCTTTGTGGTGCCGATACCAAGAGGATCATCCTCCCTTTTTTTGCAAGTAGCTCGCCGTGTCAGTACATGTTTGGTTTTCGATTTTTTTTTTTTTTATGTACCTTCGGTTCTCGTTTTTGACGTAACTCGGTTTCATCGCCCTACGAGGCGTGCGGGTTTGTATTGTCGTGTTTCCCGAGAACAACCATAGGATCGTCTTCCACGGTCTTCATACGAAGTACCTCGTGTATCAGTACGGTAAACACCTTCGGTTGCGTTTTTTTCACACATCTTTTGGTTTCACAAAAAAAGACACAATACCAACATTTCTTCGTTCTTCTCTTTCCAAAACTCAACCCACGCACACTTGCCATCGCCATGCAACCTACGAGCGCAGCGGCAACCACTAATAGCGGTCATCCGCAAAGCGCCCTTGTAGGTGTGTGCGTATTCTACACCGCTGCGGCCATCGCAGGCAATCCCAACTCGTCGTTCAAGTACTCTGACTTGGCCGTCCATCCATCGCGTGGATCGTGCGCGTGTGTGCGTGGCTGAAGGAGGTCTACGTGTGTGGTAGGACTAGGGTTAAGAGGAAGTCTCGCCGTGTATCAGGCTGCAGTAGATGGATGTACGACAATCGGCATGGTTCCCCCCCGCTTCAGTTCACCTAGTCTCGCACGGCATCATGCACAACTATAGTTCACCCTTCTACCTACTGCCTACATGTGTTGCAGGTTCCCGCCTGATTAGGAGGGCAAAGGTGACGTCCGTGGCCAACTCCGTCAGTTGGCTATCTATGTATGCAATGGCTTCAGAGACGGCAACACAGCATCGTTCATACTACTCGCTCGAGCTCGCGCAGCGAGCGGCGAGCGTGGCACTAGACCCAGCCCGGACGGCGAGCGTGGCACTAGACCGCCAGCGCGTCTTGGAATGGGTGGAGGCGCATCACCGCATCGTACCCAACGAGCAGTCACTGAAACCAGTGGGCGAGCAGAAGCAGGATGAGCTCTTTGCGTCGACGGTCGATCTCGTGCAGTGGGCGTCGCTGCTTCTGATGGGGTCGGAAGAGGAGATCGTAACGTGGACGCGTCTCCTGTCGAACATGGCACGAGGAAACGGCGAGCTCAATGGGCACGAAACGGAGCTTGGGTTAGCGGGCATGCCGTCACTGGTGTTCGACGGGAAAATTGGCCGGTGTGGTCCAACGGACGCGACACGCACGGGCGTGTCATGCCGGCGAATATGGACCCAGAAGGCGGCTGCGTCTACTGGTTCTACATGAAGATCGAATCCAGGTCCTGGTCACCCTTGATCCGCTTCCTGACAAAGCTTGATGCTGGTCGCCGGGCGATGGTGAACGCAGAGGCGTGTCGCCAGGCTTCGCGCGGCAGCCACTACACCGCTCGCACCCATAGCGGGACCTGCACTCCAATTGTGCGCCCCTTCGATTACGTGTGGGAGCCGAGTCGAGCGGAGCTGGACAGGTGGAGGGGGTGGCCTGATCCCGAATTCAAGAGGCCGTTCCCTAAACTCCCCTCGAGCCTCCCATTTCAGCTGAAGCTGGCGAAGGACCTCGGGGTTCTGCCACACGCTAAGTCGGGGGTGGTGTGCGTCGCCTACAACCCGCCACCCTCGGATCGGGCGGAGCGGCAGAGGTTCACGCTCGCCAGGATTGTTCTAGTGATGGCCCTGGCAGAGGGGATCTCAGGAGGGCTCTGCCATAACCCACTGAGCACATCGATGGCCTCCATGGTTGGGTCAGTCGGGTCGCCGGACGACATTCCCGGCCCTGGTGAGTGCGTGCTGTTCTGTTTCTGGTTGCATGAAACGTCTTGGTACCAGCCGTTTTGAAGTACGCTCGGGTTGGGATGTGCCTGAACGTGTTTGCTCTCACCGCACTCTCTCTCTGTCTCTGTCTCTGTCTCTCTCTCTCTTTCTCTCTCTCTATATCTCTCTCTCTGCTTGGCTGTGTGTTGGTGTTGTGCTTTCTTTTTCGTTTTTCTTGTCAGCACCGATCGCGCAAACGGGCTGACCAATGAAAAGGCGTCAGTCTCGTAGCGGTGTGTGTGTCGGTGTGTGTTTGTATGTTTTTAATATTAGCGTCGGCAGCGCAAACCGATTGACCAATGAAAATCCGTCCGTCTTAGTTCGGTTGAAAACACAAAACACTTCTAAATTCCATGAACTGGGACCCCGTGAGGGTGTGTATGTGTGTACCTTCATTGCGTCTACCGCGCTAATCGGCTGACCAATGAAGGGACGCCAATCTCATTGCAGTTGAAAATACAAAACACTTTTACATGCCATGAACTGGGACACCGTGAGGGGTGGCATGGGTAGGCTAAGCTGTTTTCCGGATAAAAGACAGAAACGGTAGCAACAGAGAAAATCTGCACGTGTCTACCAAGGCTGCCACCTTGCACTCTAGTTCGTTTTGGAGTGCTTTCACCATCATCCTCCTTGCCTAACTTTCATCGTTCTCATCATCCGTTTGACAGCAACCTTTCGACATTTCTTCTCTGGCCCTGCGTCGTTTGTGGTGGGGAACGTCATCTCGGTGTGTTTGTATTATTAGCATCGACTGCGCTAACCGGCTGACCAATGAAAAGACGTCAATCTTAGTGCGGTTGAAAAACACAAAACACTTGTAAATGCCATTTACTGGGAGGCCATGATGGGGTGGCATGGGGGAGATTAATCTGTCCACCGGATCAAAGACAGAAACGGCAGCAGCAGAAGAAAACTGCACACGTCTACGAAGGCTGCTACGTTGCACTCTAGTTCGTTTTGGATTGCTTTGACCAGCATCCTCCTCGCTTTCACTGCTACCATCATTCTCATCATCATCACGCTGACAGCAACTCTTTGGTTTTTCTTCTCTGGCCCTGCGTCTTTTGTTGTGGGGAAGGTCATCTGGCTCGAAGGTCTTGCTCTCTTCCACGCCATGATGCCCTCTTCGACTGCTGTTTTGGTCTGTCTCGCCCTCCTCCCCTTCCCTCTCCTCCTCCTTGATCGCTGCCACACGAATTCACCTCATTGCCATCCTGGTCGTTTCTATCTGCACTACTACCGAGATCCAAACCTATTGACCGTGGTGGGAATTGATCTATCAGTGGTCCATGGCGTTATAGAACATCACGAGTTCGTACGGATGGAAAACGAGCCTGCTCGAAGGTGTGTGTGTGTGTGTATTCTTCGTCGCGTGGTCGATTTGCCGCGGGTGCACGAATTGTTCGAAGACTACAGCTGCATCGATACCCTCTATCGTTAGCGTGCACTGCTATGTAATGAATTCTCTCGGTAGGCTGTAGAAGAACACAACCGCCCGATGGTCACAAGCGTTCGTGTCGTCTCGGTGATTCGTGCCGCGGCCCCTTCCTGGGGAGTCAATATGTCCCAACTAATTTCACTCACGCTTGCCCAAGGTATCGTTTTTGTCGGCGTTTTGCGACGAACTTCTTGTGCTTGGTTCTGAATCGTTTTCTGTTGAACCCGTTTTCGCTTGTTTGCCCCGGTGGTCGATCGCCTGTTCCACCACTTCTTTTGTTTTTTCCGTGGCGACCCAGTCCTTGCCGGGCTCGATCGCGGTCTGCAGGAAGCACGGACGATTCTATCGCGCTCAGATGGCCTTGGAGAGCATTCAGAGACAGATGTAATTGGTGGGAGAAGAGAAGATATAAACAAATTGCGGAGAAACTGGCCTCGCTGGATCCCGCCATTCACCCACAAGACCACGCTTCAGCAGCGAGAATCGCCAGGAGGCTAGACGTCGTCTGCGAGGACGGCCCGCCTGTCTTCGAAGC